GGGAAAGGCTGAGCTCTTGAATGGTGGCCATGGACTCACAGGCAAGGCAGAGCGTGTACTGGCTTCCAGCCTTGACTTTTGGCAGGCAGACCTTGCTGCTTGGGGAAAGAAGACTTGAGGATGACTAGGAGCCTATGTGCTACCTTTGGCATACTTTCAAGATGTTATCAACGTTGTTCTTAACTGTCACTTTAGTTGAGCAGCTGAGAATTGCTGAGTAAAGTGTATTATTCCAGTTGAATATGTCTGTTTTCCTACTTGACTGTTTCTTTGTCCATCCATCCCTCCATATTTCCATTGGTCCATCCATTCATCTGATACTGGATTTAAGCCACCAATGAATGGGCTGTAATTGACCTCTGAAAGCACTGTTTGGAATTGAGGCTGGGAAACATTTTCTGCAAAGGGATAGACAATAAGTATTTTAGGTGTATAGGCCATGATGTCTCTTGGAACTAGTCAGCTTTGTTGAGGAAGGGCTAGAACAGCCATAGGTAATACATAAATAAATGGATGAGGTTGTGTGCCAAGAAAACATTGTTTACAAAAGTGGACTTGCCAAGGACACAAACAGATGGAGAAATATATCGTGTTCATGGATTGGAAGAATCAATATTGTCAAAAATGGCTATACTACCCAAAGCAATCTATAGATTCAATGCAATCCCTATCAAGCTACCAACGGTATTTTTCACAGAACTAGAACAAATAATTTCACAATTTGTATGGAAATACAAAAAATCTCGAATAGCCAAAGTAATCTTGAGAAAGAAGAATGGAACTGGAGGAATCAACCTGCCTGACTTCAGACTATACTACAAAGCCACAGTCATCAAGACAGTATGGTACTGGCACAAAGACAGAAATATAGATAAATGGAACAGAAAAGAAAGCCCAGAGATAAATCCATGAGCCTATGGTCACCTTATCTTTGACAAAGCAGGCAAGGATATACAATGGAAAAAAGACAACCTCTTTAACAAGTGGTGCTGGGAAAACTGGTCAACCACCTGTAAAAGAATGAAACTAGAACACTTTCTAACATCATACACAAAAATAAACTCAAAATGGATTAAAGATCTAAACGTAAGACCAGAAACTATAGAACTCCTAGAGGAGAACATAGGCAAAGCACTCTCCGACATAAATCACAGCAGGATCCTCTATGACCCACCTCCCAGAATATTGGAAATAAAAGCAAAAATAAACAAATGGGACCTAATGAAACTTAAAAGCTTTTGCACAACAAAGGAAACTATAAGCAAGGTGAAAAGACAGCCCTCAGATTGGGAGAAAATAATAGCAAACGAAGCAACAGACAAAGGATTAATCTCAAAAATATACAAGCAACTCCTCCAGCTCAACTCCAGAAAAATAAATGACCCAGTCAAAAAATGGGCCAAAGAACTAAACAGACATTTCTCCAAGGAAGACATACAGATAGCTAACAAACACATGAAAAGATGCTCAACATCACTCATTATCAGAGAAATGCAAATCAAAACCACAATGAGGTACCATTACATGCCAGTCAGGATGGCTGCTATCCAAAAGTCTACAAGCAATAAATGCTGGAGAGGGTGTGGAGAAAAGGGAACCCTCTTACACTCTTTGTGGGAATGCAAACTAGTACAGCCACTATGGAAAAGAGTGTGGAGATTTCTTATAAAACTGGAAATAGAACTGTCATATGACCCAGCAATCCCACTTCTGGGCATACACACCGAGGAAACCAGATCTGAAAGAGACACATGTACCCCAATGTTCATCGCAGCACTGTTTATAATAGCCAGGACATGGAAGCAACCTAGATGCCCATCAGCAGATGAATGGATAAGAGAGCTATGGCACATGTACACAATGGACTATTACTCAGCCATTAAAAAGAATTCATTTGAATCAGTTCTAATGAGGTGGATGAAACTGGAGCCCATTATTCAGAGTGAAGTAAGCCAGAAAGATAAAGACCATTACAGTATACTAACACATATATATGGAATTTAGAAAGATAGTAACGATAACCCTATATGCAAAACAGAAAAAGAGACACAGATGTACAGAACAGACTTTTGGACTCTGTGGGAGAAGGCGAGGGTGGGATGTTTCGAGAGAACAGCATCGAAACATTTTATTATCTAGGGTGAAACAGATCACCAGCCCAGGTTGGATGCATGAGACAAGTGCTCGGACCTGGTGCACTGGGAAGACCCAGAGGGATCAGGTGGAGAGGGAGGTGGGAGGGGGGACCGGGATGGGGAATACATGTAAATCCATGGCTGATTCATGTCAATGTATGACAAAAACCACTACAATATTGTAAAGTAATTAGCCTCCAACTAATAAAAATAAATGAAAAAACAAACAAACAAAAAACAGAAAAAAAACAAGTGGACTTGCCTACTCTTGCTTTAGACAGTTGGAAGTATGTGACTGAATGAACATAGTTTGTGTGCTACACACACACACACACACAAAGAAAAAAGCCTTAAAAAGTGTTTCTGATGCTCTTCTAACAGCTATGTGTCAGGTTTCTTGGCTTAATTGTCATCTGTGTTGAGGTTTACCACCAAAAGTAGTTTTATAAGTTGTACTATTTTATTTGTTCATTTATTTCATTAAACATACTTATGATTTAAAATATTCATTTCTTTCTGGCACTGGTTTAAGACAAGTCATTGGATTGGAAATATAAGAAAATACAAGTAATAAAATTTTCTACCGTATCACTGATAGCAGCACCATTAAATTTTATAATTTTTAACTTAAAAATATGATTTCAAAACTATACTTTTGATGTGAAAATATGACCAAGATATACTGTTGAGTGGGAAAGAAGATTATGGAAGGGTTCTAAATAGCATGTACGGTGTGATTATGTTTGTGGAAAGAAAACAAGATTTACATATGTCTTTAAACTGTGCAGGTACATCTATATGCAAATTTTTTGACTACCCATTACTGTGTTACTACAGGACTAGAGTTGGTTGACTCTGAGGATGTGGAGGATCAACTCTAAGTTGTATGCAGATATTTGACTGCATGGAGCATCCTTGCCCTTAGCCACCATGTTGTTCAAGGGTTAACTGTGTATGCCTACTTACATACTGTAAATATCTGAAAAGATAGTGAATCAGCCAGGGTTCTTAATTTTTAAGTGATGAGATCAACTTTGTCCAATATAAGTAGAAAAGATTCATTAAAGGATAACAAGTAGCTCAGAGATCCCTGGAGTAGCTAAGAACCAAGGTTGTGTGTGTCTCTGTGTGTACTCAGTCGTGTCTGACTCTTTGCAACCCCAAGGATTGTAGCCCGCCAACTCCTCTGTCCATGAGATTTCCCAGGCAAGAATACTGGTGTATGTAGCCATTTCCTTCTCCAGGGAATTTCCCTACCCAGGGATTGAACCCGTGTCTCTTGCATTGGCAGGATTCTTTACCCATGAGCTACCAGAGAAACCCAGTATATCTATATTTAAATACCCCAAATTTCATTGCATAACTGGTGTTGCAAAGATATTCCAGCAGGTGGCAGTGGACATGGGACTGTATAAATATCTGAGTCACTGATACCACTGAGCTTGGATGCTGGACCTGCCTCCACAGTTGCCAGTATTCTGGAATACGTGCTGGTCTCTTGTGGCATTGGCTTCCAATTCACAGTCTGTCATGGGCGGGTGCATTTAATGGGCAGAGCCCATGTTTTACGCCCTAGCTGTATGGGAAGCTGGGAAAGGGAATATGTAGACCTGACTTATGTAGTGAGCAAGGGGCCCTGCTTCAGAAGGATCATAGGAAGATATTTAAGATCTTATCTTAAAGATATTTAAGATCTTGTTATCTTGCTGGACAACAGCAAGAGTGAGAGCTGTCCACTGCAGGCTCCCAGGAAATTGTTGGCATTGATGACTTCTGGACAGTGGAGTTGGAAGGGCTGACTGGAGAGCAGAAGGAACCTTTTATTTTACTCTTCTGTGCTCCTAGAATAAAAAAAGAAAATCTCATATAATTTGTACAGCAGAAATTAACAGAGCATTGTAAATCAACTAGAATAAAATTAAAACAAAACAAAATAACGCAAATTCACATAACACTGATAATAAAAGGACTCTGGGGGAAAATGAAGAAAAGGGAGTGACTTTTTTCTCCTTATCTCTTCCATTGTTATCCTGCTTCATGTGGTAATTCAAGAAGACTTCCCATCATCATGGGGGCAATTTCGTTTACTCAGTTTCACCTAAAAATTCATCATGCCATTTCCTCTTGAGTTTGATCAACTCTCGGTTACTTGCACTTTGTTGGGCAGAGATATCATGAAATGGTTTTCTCTGGGATACCAGTGATGTATTCTTCCTTTGGCTTGGTGGATCTGATTCAGTTTGCCTCTTTGAGGTCTACAGAATTCAGATTTGAAAATTGAGGTGTTGTCATCTGCCATGGTTGGTGAAAGTGTCCATAGTTGCAAGATGCAAAAATGAAATATACTTAGAAAGTAGACCATATTATGTGTTTTTTTTCTGTTTTTCAAGCACTCATAAATTTCTTTACTCTTTGATAGAAAAGTTATCTGAGAACTTAATTCTGTCCAATAAAGTTTTAGCAGGCATATTAAAATCTTTTTAAACTTTATTTTTGTATTGTTTTATGTTTACAGAAAAAGTATGAAGATACTACAGCGTTCCCATATACCCCTTTATTTACGTCTTATGTATGACACACTTGGTATAATTAATGAGCCAATATTGATGAAACATTATTATTGATTAAATAACAGATTTTATTCAAATTTTTTAGTTTTTCCCTATAGCTGATTTGATTGTACATTTTCATCTGTGTAGTGCTGTCATATAGTAATTCTATTTCAGTTATAAATAACTTCTGGAATTTGGAGGAAGAATAAATAAAATAAAGCTTTGCCACAATGAAGTTCTTATATTCTTTTTGCACAAAGTCGCATAAGAATAACTAACCTTACATTTTTTCCCCCCCTCGTTTTATATTCAGTGGAGCAGGTTCCTGTAGAGCCATACAACATCCCCCTTTCCCAAGCTGAAGTCATCCAAGAAGGGAGTGATGTTACTCTAGTTGCCTGGGGTACTCAGGTCAGTAACCATTACAGCAGCTGGTAATGCCATCTTGTGTGTGGAAGCTCTCATTTAAAAAAAAAAATTTTATTTTTAATCAAAGGATAATTGCTTTACAGTATTGTGTTGGTTTTTACCAAACATTAACATGAATCAGTCGTAGGTTTACCCAAGTCCCCTCTGACTTGAACATCCTTACACCTCCCTCCCATCCCACCCCTCTAGGTTGTTACCAAGCCCTGGTTCCAAGTTCCCTGACTAATACAGCAAATTCCCATTGGCTATCTATTTTATATATGGTAATGTATGTTTCCATGTTACTCTTTCCATACATCTCACCCTCTCCTTCCTCCCCGCCGCACCCCCATCCCCAGCTGTGTCCATAAGCCTGTTCTCAATATCTGTGTCACCATTGCTGCTCTGCAAATTGGAAGCTCTCATTTTTAATGCTGATTCTCTGAAGCATTAAAAATGTCTCCCTTATTTCTCAAATTTAAATCTTGTTTGATGCTATGTCTGTATCTGGTACTGATTTCTGGTTGAAGTTAAGATGACTTTCCATTCATATGCATATGGTGAAGCCTTTAAAAATATGTTGATAGTTTACAAAAATGTATTCAGTAGGCACTCTCTTTTGAAGCACACATTAGGTATCCTCACTACTTGTTGCTGCTTTTGACATACCATCTTCTTTTTTTGGCCATTATTCTTATTATGTTATTGAATTAAAGATTTAAAAATTCTGTAGTACTTTAGAATTTTCAAAAGTTTCATGCACAGGACTTCATATAATCCCATAATACCCCCCTCCTTTTTTTTTAATCCCCCATCCCTACAGTTCCCCTCCTTGCTTCTCTCTCCCCACAGGTAACCATTAGTTTGTTCTCTGTATCTGTGAGTCTGCTTCTTATTTTTTATTTACTAGTTTGTTGTATTTTTCAGATTCCACATGTAAGTGATATCCTGCAGTATTTGTCTTTCTCTGTCTGATCTTTTTCACTTAGCATAATACCCTCCAAGTCCATCCATGTTGCTGCAAATGGCAAAATTTCATTTATTTTTTTTTTATGGCTAAGTAGTGTGTGTGTGTGTCTGTCTATCTATCTATCTATCTATGTATATCTATGTATATCTATGTATATATCTATGTATATCTCACAACTTCTTTATCCATTCTATTGAGAGATACTTAGGTTGCTTTCATACCTTGGCAATTGTAGATAATGTTGCTATGACCAGTGGGGTGCATGTATCTTTAAAATTAATGTTTTTCTTTTTCTTTTTTGTATGTATACCCAAGAGTGGAATTGTCAGGTCATATGGTGGTTCTAGTTTTAGTCTTTTGAGAAACCTCTGTACTATTCCAGAGCGGGTGGACCAGCTTACATTCCAGTAGTGTACAAGGGTTCCCTTTTCTCCTTTTCCTTGCCAACATTTGTTATGTATGTTCTTTTTGATGATAGCTATGCAGACTTCCCTGGTGGCTCAGACGGTAAAGCGTCTATCTACAATGCGGGAGACCCGGGTTCGATCCCTGGGTTGGGAAGATCCCCTGGAGAAGGAAATGGCAATCCACTCCAGTACTATTGCCTGGAAAATCCCATGGACAGGGGAGCCTGGTAGTTTACAGTCCTTGGGGCAGCAAAGAGTCGGACACGACTGAGCGACTTCACTTTCCTTCATTTTCACTGTGCTGACAAGTGAGAGGTGATATCACATGGCTATGATTTGCACTTCCCTGATGGTTAGTGATGTTTTCATCCCATCTGTTTTCATCTCTCGTGATTACTTTGCTGGCTATCTGGACCCATCCACTGGTTCAGCCTCATTATTTCATACCTTCCCCTAGGGAGCTGATCTGTCTTAGTTTTCCTCAGAGCTTATTATCATATTGCTCTATTTCCAAACTTTTAAGCTCAGGACTCATTCTCTGGCCATAGCCTTCTATCTCTCTTTGGGACTGACAAGTATACACTACTATATGTAAAATAGATAATCAACAAGGACCTACTGTTATAGCACAGGGAACTGTACTCTTTACTCTGTAATGGTCTACATGAAAAAGAATCTAAAAAAGGGGATCTATGTATATGTATAACTGATTCACTTTGCTGTATACCTGGAATAACACAACATTGTAAATCAACTATTCTCCAATAAAAATTTAAAAAAAAGAAATGATCAGGTTTTTTTTTTTTCTGTGAAAAGGAGGTACCTCTTATTTTAGAAAATTTAATACTGTAAAATACAAAGAAGCTTTTGAAAATCATTTGCAATCCCACAGCTTCCCTCTCTCTTCTGCCCTTGACGTTTGGCTTGCAGAGCTGTAGCCCTCATGGTTTCTCACCTCCTGAGGCATAGCCAGGCTGCTTGATGTGTCACATCTGATGATGGTGCCCATCGTGGGCTTTGTAAACCTCCTCTGCTCTCCTTGAGTCCCCCTTTAAAAAACTCACCCTCAGCGTGTGTCCTTGCCTCTCCTTTTAATAGATCAGTTAGAGTGTGTTGGCTTGTAACTGCAGCTGGCTTTTCCTTCACACCATCACCTGTGCTGCCAGTTCTTACCTCTTTTCCTTTTGTTTTCCAAGAAGTGTCTGGTTTTCACAGCTTACCTTTCCAAATCTGTTTCAGAATATATTCTGTTTCTCCTTCTCCAGGACTGCTTGTTATTCATCAGCTGGTCCCTCTCTCCTGCATCATCAGTTTCTCCTTTCCATGTCCTTATTAAAAACAAAATGTGTCTCTCTTTTCTATTTAAAAAAATACTTTTCTCTATGCCACCTTTCCTTTAAATATCAGTGTATCTTCCTCTTTTGTCATTAAACTTGAGCAGCTACTTTCTATTCCCTATATTTAATTCCTTCATTATTTTTTTTAACTCATTTACCTATGAGTTCTGTTTCCACTAGTTAAAACTATTTCTGCTAATATTGCTAATCTTTCTAATTGCTAAATCCAGCCCTTATCTCATATTACTATAGTATGGGACACCAAATGGCTACTGTCTTTATGAAACCTTTCTTTAGTTTCTGGGATATATTGTCTTCTGGTTTTCTTTCTGTTTAACTTTTTTTTTTTGCTTGTTTGTGTTTTTCTCCTCCTTCCTCCTTTTCCTCCTCCTCTTCCTAGTCTTCAGCTCCTACTCCTCTACTTTGCTCTTTAGTGTGGGTCACCTACAGGGTCCTATGATTTTTGCCCTGTACTTCTCCTACATGCCTTTTCTAGAAACTCAACGTACTCCTATGACTTTATTAACCTTCTCTGTGTTGGTATCTTTGGAATCAGTATCTTTGGCACTGACTGCTTTCCTTTTCTCAAAGAATCACTTTTCCAGCTGTTTTCTGGACGTCTATATCTGATTATTTTGTTGGAGTACTGGGCTTCTACATCTAAAAGAAATTCTCCTTGCAAATCAAGTCCTCTGACCTTAAACACTGCCTCTATTAAGAATGTCAGAATTCACCTAGCTTTTCTCTGTAGTCATCCTCTGCCTGTTTTCCTCTTTTTCTTCAGGTTCACGTGATCCGAGAGGTGGCTGCCATGGCTCAAGAGAAGCTTGGCGTGTCTTGTGAGGTCATCGATCTGAGGACTATACTACCTTGGGATGTGGATACAGTTTGCAAGGTATGAATATGGTGTTGATAGTGTCCTTACCTCAAAATCTGTTTACCAAAAACCCTTTCCCAAATTTGTTGGGTCCCTGTAAATAATTATTTTAAAATTGTGAGCTTCCTGAGCCTTTTCAACCAATTTTAAAACTTCAAAATTTACACCCTGAATGAAATGTATGAGCCTGCTGCTCAAGGAGACAAATCGCTTCAGGAATTTTCCCTCCCGTGGTTCTGTGTTTAAAATATTACAACTCCTGTTCTGCATGCAGCTAGCTCGGATTGACTTGTGTGAGTAACGGACCAGTGCAAATGAGAGCATGTCAGGGCTGCTGGAGTCACCTGGGTGTTTAAACTTCTTACTGGTTATGGTTCAGTAAGCCAGGTTTAATATAGCCAGCTAAACGGTTTAGCTGAATTCTCATTTTGTTACTTCTCCAAAAGAGAAGTGAGGTGGATTTTTTTTTTAAAGCAACTTCTTTATATAACTTTAATAATGTGACACAGTTTCATATTATGTAGTGGGATTCTGGCTGCTCTGATTTACAGTTTTCTATCTGAGTAGTCTCAAGAACTTTGGCTTGTTGAGATTGATGTTCTTACTGTTAATAGGATTCATGTAGTCCCCTCTCAAGAATATAGTTTAGTTCTCATTTATTGGCTGTAACTGATAGCTTTCATATTAATGTCTAGATAAGTTGAGGTGCATCTGTTACCAAATTGGTATATAAGGAAGGTTAAGTTCTTTTTTGTGTATGTGATGGTCTTATCTACTAAAGTTTAGGTCACATTGCGTGTAATTTTTCTTGATCTACTTTTATAGCAAATAAGTCATAAGATTGAGAGTATTCTACGTTTATTACATTCAAGAGTTTTGGCATTCTTGTAGCTTTTATAGGCTGTTTCTTAGGTTATTACATAAAAATAATCTGCAGTTACTGCTGCTGTAAAAGTATAGCATAGGGTGTTTTTTCATGCTTAGTCACTATGTCACGTCCAACTCTTTGCAACTTCATAGACTGTAGCCTGCCAGGCTCCTCTGTCCATGGGATTTTCCAGGCGAGAATACTGGAGTGGGTTGCCTTTTGCTTCTCTAATAGCATAACGTGTTTTTATGTTTAATAGTATAAGGTGTAGTGATTGTCTCATAATTTAGAGGAAGATTTAAGGTTTGTTCCAGTAAATGTTCCGTAGACTCACTGGACACTATGGAGACACTTGAGATGGTTACAAATGGCTTCAATAACATTCTAAGTCCTTATATTTATAGTTTTCATAATAAAGGGCAGTGTTTTAGGTTGAACTATTGTAACTACATGGAAATAGTGCTTTTTGCAAGTATTTTCAAGACATGTCAGACATTGTTTCCTTTCAAATAGCCAGTGTTCCAAAACTGTGGTTAAACAGGGGCAGATAGCCTTTGCCCCAGAGTGCACTTCTTGTTTGCAGGGTGTCTCCCTCACTTGAAGGTTTATATTTATAATGTGAATGGTGCTTTTGCATGAGCATATGATGCTATGTCATGGTGCAGTGGAGAGAACTGATGTATGGTTGGAACATATATTTACATGTGTAAACCTTATTTAAATATTTATATACATTATATATTCAAAAAATTTGAAGCAGCTTATGGTAAACACAAATGAACTAACACTTTAGTTGGTAACCATGAAAGTAAAGTGAGAAGAAGTGGGAAACTCAAAAAAGAAGTGGGAAACTATATTTATATCAGTTTGTGTCTGTGAGCACTAACCCCATCCCCATCCCTCAGTTCAGTTCAGTTCAGTCACTCGGTCATGTCCGACCCTTTGCGACCCCATGAACCGCAGCACGTCAGGCCTCCCTGTCCATCACCAACTCCTGGAGTTTACTCAAACTCATGTCCATCGAGTCTGTGATGCCATCACCAACTCCTGGGGCTTGCTCAAATTCATGAACAAAGTCAGCGATGCCATCCAACCATCTCATCCTCTGTCGTCCCCTTCTCCTCCTGCCCCCAATCCCTCCCAGCATCAAGGTCTTTTCCAATGAGTCAGCTCTTCGCATGAGGTGGTATTGTCCCCACCCCTACCCTTTACTAGATCTAGCGGTCTCATCTTTGTATGATCCTGGAATGTAGACCCTGTTCCTTAGGACTCTGTCTGATTGGAGATGATGAAAGAGGAGACTAAAAGCCTCTACTGAACAAGGAAGAGATGCAGCAAACCTCTGACTGATGCTTTCATCATGTTATTTTTCTAGCTGATGACCCTCCAGTTATAGTTGTGAAAGCCAGCTTATCATTTCTTGATGACTTTGAGTGTATTTGTGCCTCTCTTCATTGTTGACCATGGTATATCTTCAGTTTTCTTTTCATGCACAAAAGAGAAAATTTTTGATACTTGACATCTTCCTGGAATCAAAGATGATTTTAAGGAAGAGGGCCCTATAACTAAACTGATTTTAAAAATGAGATTTTTTTGTTTGTTTAATAATAATTCAGCTTTTCTTTATCTTTAGGAATTCTCTAGTAATCAAGATTTATGTTTTTCTCTTTCAGTTAGTGCTGTGTTTTATTGGTTGTTTTTGTCTTATGACAACATTAAATCTCTCAGCTTTATTCATTACATGTTAAACTCAACACCGAAATATATCGCTTGGAATACCTAGTCAAGAAAAGCCTATTAAAGGTAAACATAATTTATTGAACATAAGCATTACCATACTGTGCATAGTAAAAGGGCTCTGGAACATTGGTTATTGTGATCTGAATTTGACTATGTTTTTAAAATGTAGTCATACTTTCTACTTAAGCTTTAAAGCATTGTTTGAAAGTTATAAACTGGAATAGTTGCTTGGCGACAGAACAACAGAGGTTTTTTAAATTAATTTTTTATTGAGGTATAGTTGATTTACAATATTAGCTTCAGGTGTACAACACAGTGATTCAGAATTTTTATAGATTATATGCCATTTGAAATTATAAAATATTGGCTATATTCCCTGTGCGGTACAATATATCCTTGTAGCTTATTTATTTTATACATAGTAGTTTGTACCTCTTTACTCCTCTCTTACCCTTCTCCTGTTCCCTCTCCCCTCTGGTAACCACTAGTTCATTCTCTGTATCTATGAGTCTGTTCCTTTTTTGCTGTATTCACTAGTTTGTTGTATTTTTTAGATTCCACGTGTAAGTATTTATCTTTCTCTGTCTGAATTATTTCACTGAGCATGATGTGCTCCAGGTCCATCCGAACAGCAGGGTTTCTGATTGTTGCTCAGAGAAGCCATGAAGTTGGAGACTGTAGTGGGGCTAAGAACCATAGTCAGTTTATCTACTCAATTCTGAACCTGATATTAAACAGTTAAGCTGGAAGCCACTGGAAAGCAGAATAGAAAGCCTTGAGTTTTGAAGTACTTAGGAGACAGAGACCCACCCTGAGGCCTGGGGGTTTCAGTAGGGGTAGAGTGGTCTAGGAACAATGATGAGAGTGGCAAGAGCTGAAATGAGTGGTAAAAGGACACTGACCTGCAGCTGCTCTTTACCTGGGGACACCAATTTGTCTCAATCAGAAGCTGAGAATCCAGGTGTGTAGAAACTTTGTTTCATGGTGTTGTAAATAGCTCAGTTGGTAAAGAATCTGCCTGCAATGCTGCTGCTGCAGCTGCTAAGTCGCTTCAGTTGTGTCTGACTCTGTGCGACACCAGAGACCGCAGCCCACCAGGATCCCCCATCCCTGGGATTCTCCAGGCAAGAACACTGGAGTGGGTTGCCATTTCCTTCTCCAATGCAATGCAGGAGACCCCAGTTCGATTCCTGGATCGGGAAGATCCGTTGGAGAAGGGATAGGCTACCCACTCCAGTATTCTTGGGCTTCCCTTGTGGCTCAACTGGTAAAGAATCTGCCTGCAATGTGGGAGACCTGGGTTCAATCCCTGGTTTGGGAAGATCCCCTGGAGAAGGGAAAGGCTACCCACTCCAGTATTCTGGCCTGGAGAATTCCATGGACTGTATAGTCCATGGGGTTGCAAAGAGTTGGACGTGACTGAGCGACTTTCACTCATTCACTTAAGGGCAGAATTGGAAACTTGAAGGGTCTTAAACACATAGTCTCTGTCTCAAGATACTTGCCAAATTCCAAGACTCTGTATGATAGCAGCTAAGCAGAATGATCTGAAATGCCAAGCTGTCACTTGAGGCTGAAGTGACAAAGGCCCATCATACTTTCCATTGAAAGCTCTGGAGTCAGGTCTTTGTTTAGAGGCAGTTAGAAATAGATCATACCTTCCCAAACCTTCATGCACCTCTGCCCCTCTCAGTTCCTTATTGACTTAATGTACTTTACCTTACGCTCTATATGCCTAGAGCAGGGAGGCATCTTCTCATCACTTGGAACATCTTGTTGCTGCTGTTCAGCTGCTCACCCCTGTCTGACTCTTCGTGACCCCATGGACTGCAGCATGCCAGGCTTCCCTGTCCTTCACTGTCTCCCAGATCTTGCTCAAACTCATGTCCATTGAGTCAGTGATGTCATCCAACCAACTCATCCTCTGTCGCCCTCATCTCCTCTTACCTTCAATCTTTCCCAGCATCAGGGTCTTTTCCAGTGAGTCAGCTCTTCGCATCAGGTGGCCAAAGTATTGGAACTCCAGCTTTAGCATCAGTCCTTCCAATGAATATTGAGGGTAGATTTCCTTTAGGATGGACTGGTTGAATCTCCTTGCAGTCCAAGGGACTTTCAAGAGTCTTCTCCAGCACTGCAGTTGGAAAGCATCACTTCTTTGGTGCCCAGCCTTCTCTATGGTCCAACTCTCACTTTCATACTTGACTACTGGAAATACCACAGCTTTGACTGGACAGACCTTTGTTGGCAAAGTAATGTCTCTGCTTTTTAATATGCTGTCTAGGTTTGTCATAGATTTTCTTTGAAGGAGCAACCATCTTTTAACCTCTTAACAATCAGCATTCAATAAAAAAAATTTTTCAAAGTATATGAAGAGACAGGACCAACTGAACAAAAACCAAGAGAAAAATAA